AAAAAAAAAAAAAAAAAAAAAAAACATGTAGGAAGCATAAAGGCCAGGAAGAAGAAATAATACCATTCGCAGAAGACCTGTCTATGTGGAAAATTCCAAGGAAACTCACGGAATCTACCAAAGGACTCCTAGAATTAATAAGTGAGTTCTGATATAAGATAAACATTCAAAAATAAGTTGTATTTCTATATATTAGCAATGAACACGCAGACTCCAAAATTAAAAATACAGTGCGTGCTCTCAGCACTAGCACCATCTCAGAAACCTCCAGGCCATGAACCAAGTGGAGGAAGAAGTAAATGCACAGGCTGAAGCATAAAAGAAGAACGATGAGGCAGAAGTTCAAGTAAACCACTAACTTGTGCACCCGTGGAAGCTACGGGAGGGGAAACAAGGAAAGCCAGAGGCCAGGGACCCTGGCACAATTATTGGGCTGCACACCTACTTTCTAGATCTTGTTTCAGAAACAAATGGATCTAGAAACACCCATCGTCATCTGATCGCAACAACCACCTTTGAGAGACCCACCTTGCTCATACAAAAACAGTCCTTTTGGTCCTCTGCCCTGGACCTGTGATTTTCAGGACTAATCCTGTACTCAGAATGTAACATGTGTACAATAAGTCATTTCTTCTATTGTCCTAGCTGAAATATACATATAAATATAAATTTAATTAAGATACAAAATTTATGTAAATGTACAATCACTCAAAAATTGAAATACTTACCTGTAATCTAACCAAGCACACACAGGACTGAATGCTGAACGCTACAAAATGCTGATGAAAGAAATCCAAGAAAATCTCTGGGATGGAGAGCCAGGCAGAGAGCTTTTATCCTTGACACCAGAAGCAGTATCCTTACATTTTTCACAAAAGGAAAAGTGGGCAAAATGAACTTCATCAAAATTAAAAACTGACCAAGTGGGATTTATTCCATGCCTGAAAGGCTGACTCAACAATGGAAAATCAGTTAATTTAACACATCACATCAATGGGCTAAAGAAGAAAACTTGTGTTTATGTCAATAGACGCTAAGCTATTGATGAAATTCACTACACATTCAGGATGCAAGCTCTCAGCAACCTAGGAATGGAGGGAAACTTCCTCAACTTGATAAAGAACATCTACTAAAACCTACAGCTCACATAATTAATGGTGAGGAAACTAGATGCTTCCCCCCTAAGATTGGGGAAAACTCAAGAATGTCATTCTCACCACTCCTATTCAACATCATACTGGGATTCCTAGCTAATGGAGTAAGACAAGAAAAGAAAATGTGTACGGATTGAGAAGGAAGAAATAAAACTGTCTTTGTTCACAAGTGACATGATTGCCTATTTAGAAAATCCCAAAGAATCAACAAAAATCTCCTGGAACTAATAAACAATTTTTTAAGTTTATTTATTTATTTATATTGACAGAGCGAGAGGCAGGGGAGAATCTTAAACAGGCTCTGCACTGACAGATGCAGGGCTTGAACCCACAAACCATGAGATCACGACCTGAGCCAAAACGGAGTGTTGGACGCTTAACTGACTAAGACCCCCCAGGCACCCCAATGAGCAACTATAGCAAGGTTTCGGGATAGCAGGTTAATATGCAAAAGTCGGTTGCTTTACTGTTTACCACCAGTGCACAACTGGATTTTGGAATTACAAACACAGTGCAATCTACATTCATACCAAAAAAAAATTACCTATATATAAATCTAACAAAATATGTATAACATCTATATGGAAAACTGCAAAACCCTAATGGAAGAAAAGCCTACATAGAGAGACATTCCATATTCATGGATAGGAATATTCAATACTGTTAAGATATCAGTTCTTCCAAATCTGATGTATAAATCAAATGCAATTTCAATCAAAATTCCAGCAAGGTACTCAGGGATATCAACAATCTGATTTTAAAGTATGTATGGAGAGATAAAAGACCCAGAACAGCCAGCAAATATTGAGGGAGAAGAAGAAAGTCAGAAAACTGACAATACCCAATTTTAAAACTTACCGTAGAGCAATAATGGTCGAGCCAGGGTGGTGTTGGCAAAAGAACAGACAAATAAATGGAACAGAATAGAGGGCCCAGAAATAGACACACACAAATAGAGTCAACTGGTCTTTAACAAAGGAGCAAAGGCAATTCAGTGGAGAAAGGACAGTCTCTTTAACAAATGGCGCTGGGACAACTGGAAGTCCGCGTGCAAAAAAAAAAAAAAAAAAAAAAAAAAAAAAAAAAAAAAAAGAATCTAGACAGAGACCTTGCACCTTTCACAAACATTAACTCAAAATGGATCACAGACCTAAATGCAAAGTGCAAAACCATAAAACCCCTAGAAAATAACGGAGAAATCTGGCAACAACTTCTGGGCGCAACACAAAATCATGATCCACGAAAGAGAAAATTGATGTTAGACTTCAGTAAAATTTCAAACTTCTGCTCCACAAAAGATATTATTGAGAGTGAAAAGACAAGCCAGGGACCGGTAGAAAATATTTGCAAAGCACACACAAAGAGCTCTTAAAACTCAGCAATAAAAAAGCAAACAACCCGCTTAAAAAGTGGGCCCAAGGTCTGTGCAGACCCTCACGGAAGAAGACAGCGTGTGGTTAAGGAGCATGTGGAAGATGTTCGACCTCCTGTGGCACCTGGGATTGCAAAAGAGGAGGCGGCCCCTGGGCCCCGGCTGGAACGGCGACAACCCCACACCGACCACACGCGTGCCGGCCAGAATGTGGGGCCGCGCGCGGGGGCTCTCGCTCATCGTGGTGGGCACAGCCCTTCGGGAGACAGCTCGGCAGATTCTTTGACCACCCTGCAGCCCAGAAACTGCCTTTCCGGGTGCTTATCCTGGAGAAACGAAACGTCCGCACAGAATCACGCACACGAACGACCACGGCAGCTGTACTCAGAATAGCCCCAAACTGGAAACTACCCGGGTGTCTGTCTGGGGCGAATGGTAAAACTGGCTGTGGTCCGTCCACACCATGGATTGCTACCCAGCAGTCAGAGGAACGGGGTATTGATAAGGCAGCAACCTGGAAGGATCTCCACTTAATTAAAAGCCAATCCCAAAAGGTCACATATTGTGTAATTCCATTTATGTGAAACGGCACAATTAAAGAAACAGAGAACAGATGAGTAGTTGCCAGGGATTAAGTACACGCGGCTGAGGGCTGTTGCCCTGCCTCATGCAGGAAGCGCTCTGTACCTTGATCGTGTGGATGCCTCGTCCTGGCTGGGACGTTGTCCTGCAGCTTTGCAAGATGTTACTATCATGCAGAACTGGTCCGGGGTACACAGTCTCTCTGGACTGTTTCTTACAACTGTATGTGAATCCATAATTATCTCAAAATTAGAGGTTCAGCTTTTTAAAAACGTTCATAAGTATCTACAGCTGATAATTTCATTCGTGCGTGACTGTCGTGCACAGTGGCCTGTGCTCCTGGCGGTGGGAGCACTCCTGGAGGGCACCGCTGGCACCGCCCCTGCCCCCGCGCACTGGCACCACTCGAGCAGCTTGAAGGTGGCCTCGTGGGAGCGTCCACACTGGGGAGATCGGCACACGCGATCTGGTCAGCTGCATAGACTTAACGAGGGCACGGAGGAAACGTTAACGATGCAACTGAACGCAGAGGTGCTCCGCGCCTGCCGTGACCCTCCAGAACCGCTGGTGGCGGGACAGCGGCCGGCTTACAGCAGCAAAGCTCGCACCGGGCCTTCCTCGGGTCGCTCTCATCCCGCCGGTTGAGTTAGATGAAAACGAAGCCGGCACGCCTGTCGGGCCACCTGTGTGACTTCCGGTACAAGAGCTGGAAAATCAGTGCCCACGTCCCGTGACACTCCTTGGCTCTCTGCAGCTGACAAAAAAGAGTATCACACCTTACCCTCTTTTTTAAACTGGGTGCTTCCCATCATTTGCATCAGGAACGTTTAGAGTAAACTGATGTGTGTAGACACGGGTATTTTTTTTAACGTTTATTTACTTTTGAGAGAGTCCGGACTTAACCGCCTGAGCCACCCAGGTGCCCGAGGAAGGTGCTGTTGCTCAGAGAACCTGCTGCTAAATAGCAGCACACTGCTGGTTTGGGGGGCTCCTGGCCTCTGAACCCCGAGCCGCGGCCTCCAGCTGCCCGAGGACAGCAGAAGGTGGGAAGGCCTTCCCACGGAGGCCTCAGGTCTTGGCTGCTCACACCTGAGGGTGATGACCCGGGAGTACTTGGTAAGCACGCAGGTTCCCAGGCCAGTCCCCGCTCCCCCAGGGATCTGACTCAGGGTCTGGCGGACCTCCAAGCTCCGAGGAAGTGCGAACCGGGGGCGCGGATCAGAGCCACCGTCCTGCTGGCGCCCCCGGGTGCCCTTGGGGGACCCCCGGGTGGGGAAGTGCTGCTGAGCAGGGCTGGCCTTTCCCTCCCCCGCCCCCAGGCCTCCGTGTACTGTGTGGCTGCGGTCCTGTGGACGGCAGCCAAGTTCAGTGTTCCCCGAGACCACAAGCTGGCCCTGCCTCGCAGGCTCAAGACCCTCCTCTTGGACATGGCTAGACGCAGCGCCCAGGAGCGGCCGTGTGCGGCAGAGGCCATCAAGGTAAGCACACTGCGGTCGGGACCCCGGCTCACAGTCCAGGGCCTGAGCGATGGCCGACAGGGGACCCAGGTTCTTGTTTCCAGGAAGAGTGGGCCCTGGACAGACGGCCATGGGTTTCATTTGCGAATAGGCGGTAGATGATGTCTGCTGCTCACCCCCGGACCACCCCATTGTCTCCGTGGGTTCGCCAGGCCAGGGTGGGTGGGGAACGTCCTGGGGCCAGCCTAACCCCTGCCCTCATGCCCTGCCAGACGGGACAGAGGCTTCTCCCCAACAACCGACTTCCCACAGCTCCTCTGAGGGTCTCTCGGCCTCCCCTCTGGTCTCTCCAGACTGGGCGGGGGCCTGATGGGGCCGGATCCTGACCCTCCCAACAGTGCCCGCGTCTGCCAGCAAGAGCTGGACGCCTGAGGGAGAACTGGGCCACTGTCTCAGTGACGGAGAGGCCACAGGAAGGCCACCCTGTGGAGGGAGAAGCCCTGTGCCGGCCTCCTCTGCCCCTGACTGCCCTGCTTCACCAAGTGAGGAGGAGCCCTGTGTCAAAGAGAGATACTCAGACATCAGCTACGATGCCCAGACACACTACCCAGCAGCCACAGACAGACAGACAGCCGGGGGACGGCCCGCAGGAGAAGGACTTGCGCTCTAGTCCAGATCTGCACGGAGGCGGCTGGAGGTTACGGGGAGAGCGGGGACACAAGAGGAAACTGCCCCGGGGCGGGTCAGCACCAGCACATGGACGCTGGGAGCCAGGACCCACCCTTCCTGACGGTCGAGCTTCGGGGGATCAGGCATAAACCCCTGAACAAGACCGTCCTGGGTCGTCAGAGTCACATTCGCCCCACAGGGGCAGAGGAGGGGTTCACAGCCGTGACCTTTGATAGTAATTGCTCTAAGGCAGGAGGGCATAGCCTCTGCCTGGCATTGGCTCGAACAAACTGAGGTTTTCCAGGCAAGAGCCCGAAGGGGTCG